CGGAGGAGGGTCAGCCCATGCTGTCGCCCCGATCCAGGACGTCCAGCCCCCAGACTGTGAGAGATAAATGTCTGTTGTGAGTAGGTCTACGATTCTTGTTACAGCAGCCCAAATGGATCGAGACACGCCTGTGCAAAAGGAGTGAGAGTTTGGGGTGCAGTCTGCGGTTAATGGGTAAAATTAAACCAACAGGCCACAATGTGTGTCCAAGTATCCAAAGATCCAAGCATCTTCGTTTATGAGCGTTTCCCCAACATATTCCAGCCAACTGAGTCCCCCCACTACAATCCACACAGAGATGGGGGTATAGTACATGCACCTTCTCCCGGTTTTAAGCTCAAGTGAGTTTGATGTAGAAGAGACATCCTACTGCTTCTTAACATGGCTTCTGCCTGTTATATTTAAAAGCATTATCGACACATTATATGTAAAGTTTCTCTACTGGTCATTATATGGTACTATTTGAGGGGGGTGACTAAAACAATTTTAACACAGACACAGCTTCAAGATATAGGACCTTAGAGGACGAGATTTTGGAGGAGACCAGCCAGATAAGGAGGGCTTCAACACTGAACCTTGAAAACCCTTCCCATGATGACACGAGGCGATTTTTCTCCCTTTCTGGGGTTTTATTTTATACAGAGTCCTTTTCAAGGACCTATGCTTGCTCAAGAGTTTTGTTTATGTTGTTGAGACCTAGGATTGAGAAGGAAAGGCACTGGTGAACGGATGGAGAAAATGCTTCTGTGCCTGCCACCCCATCGTCCCCCAGAGGCCCATGACTGCCTCATCCTTGACAAGGTCCAAATGAGTTCTCATCTTTTGCCCAAACACTTGCCTCCCCAGCTCCCAGGCTCTGAAAATGGTGGCAACTTCCATGGGTTTCCCCAAGTCCCACCCATGAATCATTGCAGACTCCTCCTGTTCCCTTGTCCTTGGTTGATTTGAGCCCTTAATTTACTCCAGATCTGTTCTTCCTCTCCATCCACATGGCCACTGCCAAATTTCAGTCCTACATCGTTGGTTAGGACAGGCCAGGTTGGTTGCAGTATTAAACAATCCCAAAGTCCCCTTGACTTAAACAGCGAGGGTCTATTTCTTGCTCGTGATATAGGTCCAGTGTGGGCTTGAGGGAGGACTAGCCTCACTTAGGACCCCAGATTCACTGAGATTCCTCCGCTTCACTGTGCTGATGTCTCAATCAAAACTTGGAGGTTCACCATGGCCGAGGGTTGGGAAGTTGAACACTAACAATTAAGTGCTTTAGTCTGCAAGTGACACATTGTGATGGTTAACTGTATGTGTCAACTTGGCTGGGCCACAGTGCCCAGGTATTTGGTCAGACATTATTCCGGATGCTTCTGTGAGGGTTTTTGGATGAGACCAGCATTTACATCAATGAACTTTTTGTAAAGCAGATTGCCCTCCTTAATTTGGATGGACCCCATCCAATCAGTTGAAGGCCTGAATAGAACAGAAGACGGACTTTCCCCTGAGCAGGACGGAATTCTACAACAGCAGGTCTGTGGACTAGAACTGCAACACCACCTTCTCCCCGGGTCTCTGATCAGCTAGCCTACCCTGCAGATTTTGGACTTGTCAGACTCCATCATTGTGGGAGCAAATCCCTTAAGACACGTTTCTTTCCGTTTATATCTACAACCCATCGGTTCTGTTTCTCTGGAGGACATGACTGACACATGCACATGACAAATGGAGCTCCTTCCATTTTCGTGTCGTTTCCAGAACAAGTTACCAGCCCTGCGTGCCGTCAGGAAGTCACATCAGCCTCAAATTCTAAATCCTTAGACACCCCTGGTTTGGTCCATAGCTACCTTTTATACTTCCTTTTCTATACTTCTAGATTTAACCATCGGTAGGTTGCTGGCCCCAGGCAAGCCATGCCCCCACTCCCCTGATGCCCCCCGTGCAGGGAAAGACACTGGTCTGTTTGTTGACCAGTTCCTGCTCGACTGTCACACATCGCTCCTCTTCAACGAGGTCTCTCATGAGGCTTCTCTTCATGAGGATGAGCAGAGGTTCTTTGCACATTTCTCTGTCCTGACACATTACATTTTAGGGATCTGTTCCAATAAGAAGAAGAATTCAAAATAATATAGATAACAACATAATATGTTGAATAATGTTTAATACACATAATATAAAATAACTAGTATTTCTTAAGTGCTTGTGATCTAACTGGCCTTTTACCTGCTGAGTCTCATTTAATGACCAAAAACCCTTCTCATTTTGCAGACGAGGAAACTAAGGCTCAAAGAGGTAAAACCCAGTGCCGATCATCTCTTGGGGTTCATGAAGCCTGGCTCGATGTCTCACTCTGGGCTCTCTTCGTGTTCACATAGCCTTGCTGTTCACGATCTGTACACTAACCCCACACCTCCATCGTCTGCCCTTCCAGTCTGTCCCCCTCTGGACGAGAGTCCCTTGAGGGCAGGGACCAGGTGTCTGTCTGCCTTGTGGCCCCAGCCCTTTGGCCACTGCTGACTCACAAGCTATCAGCACAATAGCAGATGCCAGCCAAGGGCTAGAAGGACAGCCAAGGCAAGAAGAGGACATCCGTCCCTGTTCTACAAGACGCTAGAAAGTCAGAGAGGCCGTCAGCCTCCATGGTCACCCAGAGGAACAGAGTGGGAAGAGGAGAGGCGGGAGCAGCAGACCCCTCCCCCCGCCAGGAAGGAGATGAGCAAGTGTCTGCTGGAGGGGACGCTGAGACACATAGCCTGTCTCTCAGAAAGCCTCCAGCCACGAAAGGAGCCAAGGACCATCGCATGCACACATCAACACACACATAGCTGTGCACACACACGCAGGCACGCTTGTGCACACAGGCGCATACACACAACAGACCCACCATCTACACAGGACCTGCTGTAACAGCAGAGGCCTCAGCGCCTGCAGAACCGGACTGAGACCGGGGGTCACTGCCACCAACCACACTCTCACTCAGGTAAGCCAAACTGCTATGCATCCCCTCTTTCTTCTAACGTCTGAAAAATCGTAAAGCGTAACGCACATTGAGAAGACTGCATAAAACTCAAGCGTTCAGCGATGTTCGTGAAGGAATAGCAGGTAGGAAGCAACTGCGTCAGCACCCCGTCTTGTCTGCTCAGCGGCAGCGACTAACCCTGCAGGCTGAGCGGCTTTCGGGACAGACACACGAGGACGTCCTCCTCCGTCCTGGTCAGGGCGCTGGGGCCTCCCCCGGGTTTCAGGCTGCTGCCTTCTCCCGGGGCCGACAGCGGAGAGAGGAAGCCGGCTTTCCGGGGACCCTTATAAGGGCATGAATCGCATTCGGGAGGCCCCACGTCCGCGTACCTCGGCATCAGGGAGGGGGCAGGGTTTCGACATGTGAACCTGGGGGTCGGGGGGAGACAGGGGCCACAGGGCGCAGGCAGGGGGCAGAGCATGGCCGGGCCCCAGAACCTCCCTGAAGGTTCTCGGTCCTCCCTCCTCCCAACCATCCCTCATCCCTGCTGCCCTCACTTCCAGCGCTGCCCTCTAAGAGCTTTGTGTGGCTTGACTGCAACCATTTCTTACCTTCCCCCCCCCCCCCCACACCCTGGAATACCAGGGAAGCGTCACGGTTGAACTGTGTCTCTCCAAACTGGGGACGTTGAAGCCCTTAGCACCCAGGACCTCCGAATGTGACCTCACTTAACAATAGAGTCTTTGCAGATGCGATCGGTTAAGATGAGGTCATACCGGAGTAGGGCGGCCCGAATCCAACATGCCAGGATCCCTATAAAGGGGGGAAATTTGGACACAGAGGTACACACGAGGAGAACACCACGAGCCGGTGAGGGCGGCGATGGGGCCGATGCCTCTACGAGCCACGGAATGCCAAAGCAGAAGCAGGAGAGGGGCATGAACAGACTCCCCTCGCAGCCTCGGGAGGGTCCAGCCCTGCCCCCCACCCTTTATCTCGAACCTCCGTAATTTCTGTGGTTGGAGCCCCCGTGTGATGTTTTGTTACAACAGCCCCGGCAAATGGAAACAAATAACTAGAGCCTCGAAGCGGGTATAAAAGAGAGGCCTCCAACTGGGTCTTGGCCAGTTGCATGTTAATCACCAAGCGTGTTCCGAAGGCCGCGGACCTGCCCGTGTCGGGGGAGAAGAGGTGGGCATTGGAGAGTCGGATGCGGCTCCAGCCGTCTATGGGACGGCTGAAGCCCGAAGGCATTCCTTGGGGCGCCTGTGCTCGGTGCTCCAGCAGGTGGGGGACCCGGCTGGGCCCCAGGAGGAAGCAGGCACAGGAAGTATGCTGACAGCGAGTTGCGATGGGACTGGCTCCCGCCTGTCACCCGTCTGCGTGGTCTGCTCTCGCACCTCCAAAGGGAAGCTGAGCTCTCTGCCCAACCCGACCTCATGTTCTGTTCCTTATTTCTCTGTGTGTCCGGTAAGGTGAAAGAGAAAAGTCTCCTTTTGAGTTAGCGGCGTGAGGAAAACTGAAAGAAAGGTGGTTCGAGGCTGTGGCGACGTGGGAGTTGCTTTAGAGATTTTCAAGGAAGCACGTGAGCTTTTCTCAGCTCGCGTGAACGGCGGGCGCCGGGCACACGTCATTCTCAGGAGACGTCTGCCTCTTTTCTAAATTACTGGGTCCAGAACTTGGTTAGAGAAGAAAGACAGGAAGAGGAAGGGGGAGGAAGAGGAAGAAAAGGAAGAGAGAGAGGAGGGGGAGGGCTTGAAGCCGGCTCCCGGCGACAGCGCGTGCACGGGCTGCGGTGGCTGTGGTCCCTTCACGACGACCTCCTGGGCCAGGACAGGGCTCCCCGCCTGCCTCAGCCGCCCCAGCGCTCTGGCAGGTGGGCGAGCCCTGGGAGCCGTGGTGGGACAGCAGGGGACAGCATCGCTCCCGGCTCTGGGCCGAGGTCTCCCCGAAGCACCCGTCTTCTGTGCACGCGGTCCTATTTGGAGGTGCCACTTTTCACAGACATCTGATGACATGGCTTCGCTTTCAGGTCCCTCAGAAGAGGAGGGACAGACAACGGCAGCCGGAGGAAGCCAGGCACAAGGCTCTGTCTGCTCCCACTCATCTGAGCTGTAAGGACAAGGCGAACCTACTGGGCCGTTCGCCATGGGCCCTGCAGCTCCCCTGGGGTGGCGGGGGCGTGGAGGGGACAGCCAGGGCACTTCCGGGGGCCCGAGGTTGTGTTTCTTGAGCTGGGTGCTCACGTGTATAAAATTTCACCTAGCTGAACACTCTTGGCGTGGGTGTTTTTCTGTAAGTATATTCACCGGCAAGCTAAAGAGAACGAGAGAGAGAGAGAGAGAGAGAGAGAGAGAGAGAGAAGGCCAGCACAGCTAAGCCACTCTTCAAATGTTCGGGGTTTCTGCAGACTTGTGTGCTGGCTTGTCCTCTACGGAGGACTTCCTTCCTGCGTCCCATAAAAGTTGTAGTAACGTCTCATGCCCCAAATCAGGAAGAACCCGCTCTTGGATTTCGCAAGGGGGAAGTTCTGAAGGCCACTGTCCCATTGTCCGCACTGGACCCCTCAAAGTGAACCGGCACCGTGATGCGGAGGTCTGGGTGACCCTCGGGCCCCGGGACGCGGAGCAGGGCCCTGTATTCAGCTAGTGCGGGCACCTGCACAGACGTGCGTGTGCACTCCCGGCCAAGACCCTCCCTGCCTGTCTCAGAACTCGACTCCGTTCCCCTGACTTGAAGGATCTCCACGTGCGTCACCACAAGGTTCTTCTGAGGAAGACCTAGAATGTGAGGTGTAAACTGAGGCCGCAGGGGCCCAGAATCAGGGTGCAGCCCGAGCAACATTCCTCAGGCAGCTCGACGGCCAAAACTCGGGTGAAAACACCACCTTATTTCCCAGAACAGGCATCAGGCACGCTGAGTCCCACGCCTCATAAAACCTAGTAAGTAATATCTATCTCCACCTGAAAATAGAATCGGGCTTTAAAACCAGCCCACAGCTGAGGTGCCTGGGGGGCTCAGTCGGTTAAGCGTCCCACTTGAGCTCAGGTCATGATCTTGCGGTTCGTGGGTTCAAGCCCCGCCTGGGGCTCTGCGCTGACAGCTCAGAGCCTGCTTCGGATTCTGTGTCTGCCTCTCTCGCTGCCCCTTCCCTGCTCACGCTCTGTCTCTCTCTCTCTCAAAAATAAATACACATTACAAGAAATTAAAACCAGCCCACAGTTCCAAAAAGGCATACAGAGCAAGGAAAGTGGAAAGATAAGTTCGTGTTCTCAAATGTAAACATCATGCCCACGAGCAAGCGTGGACCTTGTTGGGGAGACCCTGTGACTATCCTCTTGTGCTCTGTCATCCCCTTCAGTGCCCACAATGTCCCCAGGGTAAGTCCTGAGGACTTCAGGATGCCTCCAGAAATACCTCACCGACTCACAGTAAAATCTTTATTTGGCAGACTCTCTCGCGTCACACTTTTCCTAAGGCATCTTAAGGCAAAAATGTCCCCGAAACAGACTGGGGAGCCGCTCCCAAGCCAGTGAGCTCCCTGAAAGCCTGGGCGACCCCTGCCCACCTGAGTTGGGCGTCACGGACAGGTGAGCATCGATCCCGTTGTGAATGGAAGACCAGAAACAGGGAGGCGATAGGACTCCCCGGGGCTGTTCATACTTCTGCCTTTAGGTCTCAAAAGAGTCGAGAGTGTACAATATTTGAGCCATGAATTCTTCTTTTAATGTTAATTTATGGAGAGAGAGAGGGAGCGAGAATGAGTGGGGGAGGGGCAGAGAGAGAAAGAGACAGAGAGAGAGAGAATCGCAAGCAGGCTTCATGCTGTCCGTGCAGAGCCTGCCATGGGACTTGAACCCACAAACCGTAAGATCGTGACCTGAGCAGAAATCAAGAGTCACATACTTAACCAACTGAGCCACTCAGGAGCCATAAATTCTTTAAAAGGTGACACGTATCCACGTACATGATACATTTGTAATAAGAAGTCCAGGAACGGAGATCAGGAGGCAGTAAGTCCAAGTTCAAGTTCTAATGGCATCGCTTTCTAGTGCTTAATTTTGGGGGTGAATCTTGTCCTCTTCTCTAGGCATCAACGTCCTTCTATATCAGCTCGAAGGACGGAATCCGATGACCTCTAGGGTCACCTGTGTCTGTTTCAATTCTTCCCGGGTTGTCCCATCTCAGCTTTCAACCCCCCTCAGCAGCGGTGCCTCGTGGGGTCCGACAGTCAGTCCCCACAGGGCCCCAGCCGCCGGGTCCAGCCAGGTCACACCGGTGGGTCTAACTGCTACGAAACTTGAGGTCCGGCAGGCCCAGTGCCTCCCAGGGGTCGTTGAGTGACCCCCGAGTCAGTGGCCGCGAGTGGGTGCAGAGGCCCCCGTCACAGAGCAGTCAGCACTGAACCACGCAGAACGCAGCTTCCCTGGGAGCCAGAGCCCCTTCCCTTCACCGCACGGATTAATGTGCTTTCCCGCTTAGGAAATGCCGTGGGGCTGGACACCAAGGACAGCAAGTGCCGCCTGTGGCTTCCGGCCTCCCGGAAGCAAAGAACGGAGAGGTCACATATCATCGCGAACTGGGTGGGCAGGGGCCTCTTCCGGACTTTCTGCCATAAAAGAAACAGAAAGGGCTGATACCAGTTCTAAGGAAATCACGTATCAGATTGGTGCTCGAGGTGAAGGCTGGTAACTAGAAGCCTCTCTCCTGGTTTCCTGCTGACTCGTCTCTGCTTCCTCCCTGGAGAAACCGAGGCGTGTAGCTGGGTCAGTGGGAACCAGGTCCAACGTGTTCAGCAAAGGGCTAATTTTAAACTGCCTCACGGGGCGCCTGGGTGGCTCAGTCAGTTAAGCGTCTGACTTCGGCTCAGGTCGTGATCTCGCAGTCTGCGTGGTCCGTGAGTTCGAGCCCCGTGTCGGGCTCTGTGCTGACAGCTCAGAGCCTGGAGCCTGCTTCCGATCCTGTGTCTCCCCCTCTCTCTGCCGCTCCCCTGCTCATGCTCTCTCTCTCAAAACTATATAAAACGTAAAAAAGATTCACACTGCCAAGAAAGAGTTGGAGGCGTGTGCGAGGTGGAGAGGAACGATTCCAGTCCTTCAGGGCAGCCATACTGGACGCCACCAGCCGGGCTATCCCAGGACGGGCGTCCAGAAGGGGCCCCGCTGCCTGTGTCCCTCTCTTCTTTCCGCAGACGTGATGTGCTCTCGGGTACCTTGCTTGGACTCAAGCCAAACTCGAAGAGAAGGTCCTTCTAAACCCACCCTTTCCAAAGCGTAAGTGGTTCTCTCAAGAAGCTCCCCGCACTGTCTCAAATACCGCCTCTTTCTAGAACGGCTCTCTCATGCCCAGAAGCCTCGCATTTGGGGGCCGGGCAGGAGCTGGGGCTTGAACATTCCCGACACCCACACATGATCCCCATCAAGTGCCCCCACCCACACCTCCCCTCGACCTTGCTAACATCTGATGCTATTTTCTCAATCTTATGGACACCGGGGACCATCCCGCCCACACCGACCGTTTGCACGGGGACTGACACAGCCCCAGGCTCCCGGCGAACTCTTGCTACAGATGGTTCGGGGAGGGACACGAAAACTCAATCCGTGCGTTTGGAGTGAAATGCAGGCTTTGTTCCCCCTTAGAGAGAAGAGGCACCTTCCTCCTCCTCCTGGAGGTGAACCAGGAGGCACATGCCTCCCCCGAGGGTCCCAGCCTGGGGACAGGCTGCCCCTCAGAAGAGCTGAGGGCTCAGCGAAGAACATGCAGGCCCGAAGAGACTGAGAACTCGAGAGCAAATCACCCAGAAAGAAGCTCTGGGTGTTTCTGTTGACACCAGTAGGATGTGGATTTTCTGTTGCTGAACAGAAGCCCTCTGCTAAAATCGCCTTTGGAAACCTTTGCTGTTCGTAGGCATCTGTGATCGCAAAGAAGTAAAACCAGTATGCCTGCTACAGAAGTGGCCTCCGAGGTGAGCCCTCACCCCTCCCTCCCGCCAGACTGTCCTCCTATAGATGCTCTGGAGCCTCCCAAAAGTCCCATCAGACACCCCGACTTGTCCTGCACCCTGAGACGGTGGGTTCCCGGGCAGGATGGACAGCGTGAAGAATGAGGTGTTCTAGAAGGCTGGTCTGGAGGGATTCCGCAGACCAGCGGCAGCTGGCAGCAACGGAGGCCAAAAGAGAGGAAGGAGGGAGTGCGAGAGCCCCTCCGGGGAGAAATGGCCTGATGGCGTTAGACGGCGGGCTTTCACAAAGGACAAAATGGGCAGGGTGGGGGGTTAGCGCCTTGGTTACTTGAACCGCGATGCCCGCAGGGTGGTGGAGGCGGCTATCTTGGCCTTAGACGGTCCGCAGCGTCGTCCACTCTTTTAGTTTCGCGCCCTTTGCTTTGGCAGGGGCGGGGTGGGAGCTCCAGCGGGCACGCGGGAGAGTCGCGGGCCTGAGAGCTTGAGAAATCACGATTCTGCTGAAAGCAGCGAAGGCAGAGATGGAGACACCGTTCCTCCTCTTTCACGGCAAACACCCCGCGGGGTCACGGGGCAAATATCACCGGTGCTGACACGTGGCCACGGGGCTTGGCGCCTTACGAGGCAAGCTCAGCTACAAGGCCCTCCCTTCCAGGAGGTGTTCTGGAACACGTGGGGCAGGTCGCCCCTCCGCAGAAACGAGCCGGACTACTGCCATTCGGGAGCTAGAGGCCAAAGCAGCGTCCGGTAGAATCACACTGTCCAACAGCCGGGGAAGCCGTGGAGGAAGCCAAGACGGCCCGTGGCCTCATGGCCTGGCGTGCAGACCTCCTGTGGGCACCCGTCTGGGGCCCCTCCACGTCCGGCGTCGCCACTGCGTACCCCTTTCACTCTGAAAAGGGCCAGATGTGGGCCGCCAATGATCCGGACCACCACCTCCAGGACTGACACGTCTGGGAACGTAGCAACACCAAGTCCTTTTCTTCGTTGACCGGGACAGCCCGGAGGAGAGATTGGGGTCCGGTGGAAAGCGACCCCGAGCCTTCCAGCACAGCGTCTCGTGCCTTCGGGGCACACTGCGGGGCTGGGAGGGGGGCCCTCTCTCCCGGGGGTGCGTGCTGCGGGCCCTCCCCCCTTCTCTTCTGTGTTGGGGGGGTGAGGACAGCGCCTGCACACGCGGGGGGGCGTGCTGGTTGCCTCCCCCAGGCACACACCATCCACACACCGTGCACGCGGGCTGAGCACTCGAAACACAAGCTCGACTGCGGTCCCGGTCTCCCGGGGCCCTCAGAGGTGTGGGGGGCTAGCCTGGGCCAGTGCCGGGCACGGGGTCAGCAACCGTGAGGCAAGGGCAAGGACTCGGGGGTTCACGGCTGAGGAAGGCAGGAGACGGGCTGGAAGGTTCTCACGTGGTTGACAGTCCGTATGGATTCGGCCAGCGGATGGGGATACTGAGTCACGCCAGGGCCTCCTTGTTCCTCCAGGCAGCTGTGCACGGCTCGACTTCGGGATTTCCCTGTGCACGGGTTACGGAGCAAGGCGGGCACGACCTGTGCAAAGAGGAGAAGGTCAAGGCCCAGGAGAAGAGACCCAGGGCAACTGTCCTGCGCCCCGATCCCCCCCACTGCTGTCCTAGGAGGCAGGAGGGCCCTGCTGGAACCCATCCCTCTGGTTACTGTCCCATCAACAGCGAATCTTGGCATCCGCGCTGCTCGCTGATCCGGACAGCCTCCAGACAGCAGGATGTACCCTCGCTTTGCATTTAGAGCCTGAGCTCCGTCTCTCCTAGTCTCTCCGCACAGACCGCCGTGCCTGAGACCCCAGCCAGGGCAGAGTGAGGGGTCTGACCCCAAAGGCGCAGTCAGGAATCTGAATGCTGACCTCCTCTTTTGCACTAAAATGCTTGTGTGTTATCAGAGGGGAGCGCACAAGAACGAAACCGCTTGAGCCTCTGCGTCCTCAGGCTGCGGTCGGTCCCTGGGGCACACCGCTAGTGGACGTGTTTGCGGACTCGCGTGTTCTTCAGGTCTGCTCACCAGCGCCGGAGCCACCAAGTGGCCGGTTTTGATTTATCAGGTCACTTCAGCACCACACACCGAAGCATCTCTGCAAATGTCCTCTTCCCCTGTCTTGCCTTCCAGACTCTCCCAGGCTCTGGCGGACCAGCGAGGACGAGCACGTCTGGTGGCGTCCACTCTCTTGTCGGTGTGCCCCGTCTGTGCGTGTGCGTGTGCAATGCCATCGTGGACGAGGATCAGGTTGGGGATCTGAGGGGAGGCTCACTGCGGCCCACCGCCCTCAGCGGTCCGTTTGGCTCTTGGCCACGGAGAGGAGAGAACTACGGTCTCTGGGTAACTCCCTCTCTCTTTGGCCTTGTAAGGAAATATCTAGGGAAGACAGCAGAAGGTGTGTCGGTGAGGTTTGCCGGTGGCATCAGAAGGTATGAGAGAAAAGTGGGTTCTTCCCCTGCCCCTCCCTCCCCATCCACCTGGCCCCACCCCCTGGCAGGTAACTTCTCTTTCTTTTTTTGTTTTTTGTTTTTTGTTTTAAATATTTATTTATTATTGAGAGACAGAGAGACACAGAGCGTGGGCAGAGGAGGGGCGTAGAGAGGGGGAGACACAGAGTCCGAAGCAAGCTCCAGGCTCTGAGCCCGACGCGGGGCTTGAACTCACAAACTGCGAGATCGTGACCCGAGCCAAAGTCGGGCGCTTAACCGACTGAGCCACCCAGGCGCCCCAGGCCTGGCATTTTTGTCTGCTTCTTATTGAAGTCCGCAAGCCAAGCCATGTCACGGGGTGACACTGACAATCAGGAAGCAGACAGAAGACCTGCGTTCACAAGCCCCTTGAATCTGGTGGCTTCTCCGTTAGTCAAGACTGAATTTCCCGAAGCAGACAAGGTCTGGGCATTTGGAAGGGCTTTTGTTTGCTTGTGTGTTGTGTTTTGTTTTGTTTGATGGGAGGGGGATGTGGGGGCAGCTTGGAAGTGACAGAGGGTGACCGTCGACCTTTTACCCAGTTAAGGTCCTAAGGGCCCAGAGCCCAAGCGTGTGAACAGGTGGTTAAGGGACCTGGGAAGCCAAGCCACAGGCTCCCCCTTAGCCCTGCTGATCAGGAAGCATAATGCAGATAATAGTCAATCCATGGAATCCTTGGACAGCCATGTGGGGGGTTACCTCTCCCGTTCCAGCAGAATTATGGTGGCCAACTGAGAGACGACTGCCGGCAAGACAGGACTTGATGGTGCGCAGTCCCTCCCGCCTGGAAGCATGCTTCTTCGGGACTGGGCCCCGCCAGAGACTCAGCCTCACATCCGCAGCTGTCTGTCCCACCTCCGTCACCTCCCTGCAGGCTCCGGGAGGCTTAGCAGCTAGAGGTGATAGACTCTGGTGAGGCTCCAGCCCATCGGAGAGCTTGGTGGCGTCCCCAGGGATTCCGGGGATGGACGTATGCAGGCCTGGTGTGTGCAGGGGCCATTACTGAGGCTCACAAGCCCAGAGAACCTGGGCGGGGCTGGGGAGGCAAATGGGAACCTCTCCTGGGCTTTAGGAACATTTGTTCATGTACAAATTCAACAACCTCAAAGCTGCTGCCTGTGGTTAGTGGGGGGGTGGGGGGGGCATCTAATGAGGGCCATTTAGCTAAAGCTGTGTGATCACTTTGTGGAATATTTCTCAGGAAATCGATGTCTGCCAGGAACTCGGAATCTGGGTGTGCTCAGCTCTGCACACTACCCCTGACGGTCATGGGATCCCCTGAAACCCACCCCGCCCGGCCCACCCTAAACTCAGCGTTTCGGTCAGGTTTGTTTTGCGCTGTCTCATCACAAACCCTGTGGTTTTCAAATGCCTCCTCCCTGCCCTGGTCCACGAGGTTCCTCTATCCCCAGGAGGGTCTGGTGTCCAGAGCCAAAATAAACCCCGGGCATTGGAAAAGAGGGCTGAGAGCCACGGGTCCTTCTCTCTGTAGGGTTCACACACGTCCACTGCGTTTTAGCTGCGCACCACGGCTGGCTAAAGGCGTCTCCGTGGCCCTGGCTGCTAACGTTCCGTGAGTTTCTTTAGGTCAGCACTGCAGTGGAAAAGACCCCTTTCCTCCAATGGTCACGAACGTGGGTGTCCCTGCCCTACCGCTGCTGGGAAGCAAGGACAAACCATTAACAGATGCTCGAAGTGGGGCGCAGTCCATGAAGTGGGGCTCAAGGACAGTCTTGGCTGGCTTGGGTAAGGGTTCTGCTTTCGTTATGTCCCTAAAGGATAAACTGCTAGCGTTTCACAGCCAGGGCTCAGATGCCATCAGTCCTCTCCTGTAATAACCCACTGCAAGATATAGAATCTTTGTTAAGTAAGCAAATATTTATCATAACTGAGATTCAAATAGGAGCCTGAATAGCAATTGATTTTCATTCTTCTTGGCTGTGATGTTTTAGCTATTTATTTTTCTTTTTTTTAATGTTTAAAAAAAATTTTTTTTTCATCTTTGAGGGGGGTGGGGGGAGAGTCAGTGGGGGAGGGGCAGAGAGAGAGAGGGAGACACAGAATCCAAAGCAGGCTCTAGGCTCCAAGCGGTCAGCACAGGGCCTGACGAGGGGCTCGAACTCGTGAACCGTAAGATCGAGACGTGAGCCAAAGTCAGACGCTTGATCGACTGAGCCACCAGGCGCCCCTATGCATTTCTTTTTTTATCTTGAGCCCTAACATCCTTATTATTTTTCAAAGTGTTTAGATAAGGTGAGTCCCCAAGAAGCTGCGGTCACTTATTCCAGTGCCATTCAATGGCCACAGTCAGCAAGGTCTACCCAGGCTCTAAGGTAAATCGTGTTGGCAACTGAAATAGGCCTGTCTTCTTGGGTGGGTTCCTGTCCTGTCATTTTGTATGGACCTCACAAGACTATAACCTAAACCGAAGTTGTGGGAAGAAGAAACACTAAGGAGGGTGAGAAAATGGTATCTCAGTAGATGAAGCAAGAGACTAAGTCTCTCACAGACCCGGCATCAGATGGAAGCTCATGAAATAATTTATCGAGTGACTTCTATAGGCCAGTCCTGTGCTAAGCAAGTGTGTACGTATCACATCATTTCATCCTCCCAACAGCCCTCTGAAGTAGATCTTCTTACCTCAATCCTACAATCAACAGCTGCGGAATCCATGACTGTGCCAAGGACACACGGCCACTCAGAGGCACAACCGGGTCCAGGCTGGGCCATCTGCCTGGGCTCCTCCTAGTCCCTGGGGTCCTGGGGTCCGTCTGGATCTGGTTCCCTTGGTCATATACTCAGCACCTGACAATAAATTACTTTTCTTCCATGGCTTCAGTCTCCTGAACAGCCCTCCTACAACGAACGTCATCGTCAACCATTGGCTCAAGAACCTCCTGGAATCCAGTGCCCGGCAAGGGCTGAGCTCTGTGAGCGGGAGGTTCTGCTAAGCTCCCCCGCCCCTCGGCCGCAGGTATGATACAGATTGAACATGATGGGGTAGAGGGATCGATACACAGAGCCAGCTCGTGGTTGGCACCCCATGGATGGCCCCACCAAGCCTTGCTGGAGAGACCACGGCCACCAAACTTCTCTTCTTCTGAACACGCTGTGACACTCATTTAGCACGTCTGCTCCCCACCACGACACAGGATCTGCCCCTTACCCATTGAGCCTGGCCCTGGCTCACCACTGTGTCCTCCAGCATCTAGCAAAGTGCTGACAGCATAGACGAGGCCCCCAAACATTGTTTAGTCGATCCCCAAAAAGCTCTCTACCCAAAGCACTGGGCATACCCCCCCCCCCTTGCCAAGGCTGGGGGCGTGGTTGATTCTATGTGTGACCTTGACTAGTCTAAGGGAGGAGAGCTGGGAAGGATTATTTTTCTGGTGGGTGTCTCAGGGCGGTTTAGCATTTGAATGGGTGCTCAGAGTGTGGGAGGAGACTTCCCCTATGGGGGGGATGGGCATGGGGAGCATCATCAGTCCTGAGGGCGAGAATGGAACGAGAGGTAGAGGCAGGGAGAAATTAGCTCTCCGAGCTGAGACCTCCACTTTGTCCTACCCTCAGAGGGACGCTGTTTCCCAAGCCTGGCCCTTGGGTTTGACGCGGAACTATGGCGTCCAGCCTGCAGATGGTGGGATTTCTCACGTCCTTAATGGCAAGAACGAGTTGTTCTGTGTATCCTGTGTGTCCCGTTGGTCCTGTTTTTTCCTGAGCTTCCTCACCTAATACACTGAGTCCTCCTCTCTCTCTTCCCACCAAAGCCATTGAGACCATCAACCCCCTTGGCACAGAATGACGCAATTCTCTTCTTTGAATAACTGCAGGGTGGTTGTTGTTGTTGTTTTCCGGTCATTCTTGTCCTGAGCGATCTCAAGTGTTCTTAAGGACTCTTGAAGCTCGAGGAGACTTCTGTTGTATCGGCTGTCGGAGGAACCTTGCGGTCCCTCCGCTGTCGGTGAGCAAACATCAGATCCAGGCGTCTTTAGAAGGGGGTGGTTTGAGTTTTCTTTGGCTTTGGGACCGGGCAGAGACCCCCAGGTACCCCCGGAGGCTGTGGGGGGAGGGGGCGATGAGATCATGTCTGCAGAGGCCCGCAGCCCCTTGGAAGGAGGTCCCTCTGTAAGTTCTTGGAAAAGCCCCCCCCTTCTAGCCATTTCTGCTCACACCGGCTCGGTTTTCCTGGTCTGGCTGCCGCTACAAATAGCCTGCGTGCTCTCGCCAAGTTTCCGTCTGCTTGCCCTCTGCTCTCTTCTCATGGTTGGGTTTCTCCCTTCGGGACCAGGTGTATGTCTGACACATGAGCCTGGGGGTAAAACTGTGTGGTCTCCCCCCATCCCCGTTACTTAATCCTTCAGATAACTCTAATATAAAGGGTGTTTGGGGGATTGGGGGAACATGTTTTGTTTTTTCATTTGAACGCATTCCCTCCCTCTATCCGGATACAGGAGCCTGGGAAGGGAGGGAGAAGGTAAGTTTTCTCGGTAGGAGATGTTTGCCCGTGATTTGGGATTTGGGGACAGTCCTCTTTGGGCTCCTTCTCAGTGCACTGGTGGGGACGCGGGCAGGGAGGCCCTGTAGCTCCCTAAACAGCCCCACCCGGGACCCCACGGGACTGGGCTCCAGTCTGGCTTCTCCCGTGGATTTTCTTGGGGGTTGATGGAAAATCCTTTACATCTTTAGCTTGGATCCTCTCACCTGCAAGATAGTCACTGTCAGCTTTCCACAATTTTCCCTGTGGACATGAAGGTGCTCAGGCGGAAGTCGCTGACCCAAGGAGGTTGGGGGGCGGTGCGGGGCAGAGGGAGTGGGAGCTCCCCAGCTGGTGGGGGAGGGTGCGGGCCCTGCGGCCGATGCATGGGCTGGCTGGGACAGCAGACAGGAATGCGGGTGGCTGCTGGGACAGGGAGGGCTGGACAGGCAAGTCGGGGCAGGCGGCAGGACCTCGAATAACAGGCCAAGGACATTGGGGTTTGCTCTGAGGACCAAAGGTCCTCAGCAGGATGTCAAG